CTTAGGACGGACGGCCGTATCCGTTTCCCGAGTGTCGGCGTGGTGATGGCGATCTACGGGGGATGTCGCCGGGTGGTGTTTGAGGGCGCAACCTTTGCGGGTTCTTCGCTGCCGGCAGTCCGTCGTCGAGATCCCGACAGTGTTTCGCGATGTGTCCCACGCGATCGCAGTAGTTACAAACCGGGCGTCCGTCGTAGGCTCTCCTGTCACCAGCGAAGTTTTTGCGGTACGGAGAGTACTTTGGTTCTCGCGGGCGGTCCGATGGGTAACCGCGATTCTCGGGGCGTCCTCGGTTCTGGCCTTCGTTCGGTTCGGTGCGGTCGAAGCTTCTATTGAGCTCCGAAGATCTCGGGCGCACCGCCGCCAGCGTGGCCGTCGGGGCCGAAACGTGTTTGACTTCTGGGGCCTTATTTCTGGTCGCGGCCTGTCTCTGGCGTTTCTCCAGCACGCGTCTGATTCCCTCCAGGTCGGCTACCAGGTCGTCTGCTGCGATGTGGGCGAATTCTTCTTCGGAGATGGTGTTTCCGAAATGCTCGATCACGTCCTCGTCAGCCATTGAAGGGTTGATTTGGTGGCACAGCCACTGTACTCGGTCGAGGTGGTCCAATAGGGACTCGTCTTCCGCTCGTACTAGGTTTCGTAGCTGTTGCTTAGCTTTGGCGATCCTGCCGCTGTCGAAGCGTCGCAGGAAAGCCTGTCGCCACTCCTTCCATGATTTGAGGCGGTCTGCTTGGGTTTCTGCCCACTGGAGGGCGAGTCCCGACATGCACAGCTCGGCCGACTGCAGCTTGAATTCCTCCTGCCATGCGTTATGCGAAGCTGCCCTTTCGAAGAGTTTGATCCATCGGCCCGCGTCGTCGTTGGGCTTGAACTTCGGAGGCTCTTGAGTGAGCCGCACTGGCACTGGCACTGCGCAGGCGGCCAACTGCTTCCGCTCGTCCTTGTTGTCCTGGACATCCTCCACTGCGCGGGCCTGAAGTTCGCGTTGCTGTTGTTCCGGTTGTTGCTGTGCCGCTGGTCCGCTCGGGATCGGTTGCGGTGCCGGTTGGACCGGTTGCGGCGCAGGCTGGACCGGTTGAGGCGCCGGCTGGATTGGCTGGGCTGCTGCATTCTCCTGGTGTCCCTCGCCTTCGGGCTGAGCGGCTTGGACCGCGGCCCTTGGCGGCGAATGCTGGACGTTCCTTCTTGTCGTTGGCGGAGCCATCACTGCGCACTACAGAATAGACAAATATCATGCGGTTAGCGACAAGACACTTCCACGTGCGGCGTGCAGGGATTGGCGTTCCGGGCGGATATCTGATCGTATTCTAAGCGGTTTGTATCTTTAATTCGGCTGCTGAACTCGACCTAGCGGATGCACACGAGGCTGTACATTCGCGCTTGCACGTGGCTTACTTAGGCCTAACCGAGGTGCTCACTATTTTCTCCCGAATTCCCGGGAAAAATCGACCAATCTATACTTGGTTCTGCTTAGTTCTTCTTGCTGATCGTTTCTACTTGGGTCTCAGGGTCTGGGGGCGTAGGGGGAAAGCCGCATCTCCACCAATTGTAAAGAGGCTTCGGGGGGAGCTCTCGCGCCGAATACCGATGTCCGTACGGGACCACGGGAAACTTACGGTCTCCTGACGACGGAGGCTTCGATGGATGCCAGGGGTGACGAATGGGGACGGCGAAGGAGTCCGGCGTTTGGGGCTGCGGGGCTGAAGGTCTGAGGGGCGCGCCTGGGAAGGCAGAGGGGCGACGGCACGAGTAAACACTCCGCTTGAGGATTCACACCAGAATGCCGGCGAGAAGTTTCCGCGGCCGGTTTATTGTTCCATTCGAATTCTCTTTCCACAATCTCCAGATTCACATCTATTGGACCATTACCGCTCCTCCCTCTAGAGCGCGCGGTTTCCGAATATTCGCTACTGAGCCGTAACTGCTAGGCTGACTCCAAGACACACACAGGAACGGTAGTTCCCGAATCCCTGATCGCTTCACGACCCCGATCTCCGATACCAAAACAATCGTGGGAACCGGGGTCGCTTCGCGTGCAGGTCTAGATACAAGTTTAGGATTCCAGCGCTCCCGCTGTGTGGGTGTTGTCGCCTTCCAGATGCTCCGTCGTCGGCCCGCCGCTGCGGCCTCCATCAACTCCGTTACAATAGGAAGAAACTACTCATTACGAGTGAATAAAGACTTTGATTGAGGCTAAAGGGGCCTTCTTGGCTTCTCACTCTTGAGGAACCGGAGACTCACCCGCTGAATCAAGCCGCAGAGAACGTGTCATCGGAGAGGAAACTCGAGACAATCATCGCAGTGGCTTCAAACCACCTCAGCGGTGTTCCGGTGATCGGTGAACAATTCTCTTCTTGGGAAAAAAACAGTTCGCATCATGACATACGTGCTCCGTTTCACAGCAGCAAAAGGCGCCTCTAAACCAAGCACCCCGTCGATCGATCTCCGGGAATTCCGCTCCCGCCGAAGATAAACTCATTCAGAGCATACAAAGGTCATCTTCCCAATCAGAGTTCGAGTAACACTGTGACAGCATCTCGGAAACGAGTCAGCTCTTCCAATCGAAACCGTTCCTCTCGGAGGATGGATTCATCCGTTGTAGATCCAGGCTCGTGAATCGCCCCACTTAAAATCCGACGGAGAGTATCCGATAATACTCCCGGGTGATCAGTTCCTCACTCAACTTCTGGTGCGTCACTTACACGGAAACATATGCCTCCACTCGGGCGGCATCGCATCGATTTTGCACACGTTACGTCAACGATTCCTGATCACCAAAGCCTGACGGTAGGCCAGATCCGCGCTCTCCGGCTGCAAGGTCTGTGCGAGATTCAGAGCCAGCCAGGCAAGCGAGGAAATTACACCTCTGCCAAGGTTCAAGCTTGGAGCCAGCGCGCCTTTTACCATTGTTGGTATGGACCACTGTGGACCGATTTTCTTCAAAACGGACACAGGTGAGAAGCGGAAGTCGTTATATAGGGTTAGATAACGTTGTTCTCGTGTGCAGTCACGAGAGCCCTGAGGTTTGAACTTTCGTGCGATCTAACAACCTTCGAGTTCCTCATGGCTCTACGGCGATCCATTGCCAGGAACCCAGCCGTGCAGAGAATCGTATCTGACAATGCCCGTACGTTCACGAAGGCAGCCGGCGAAGTAAACCTCCTGTTCGAACACACACAATCGAACCAAATCAGAGATTTCCTAACCATCACGAAAATCGAGTGGCAGTTCTCCACTACGAAATCCCCATGGCAGGGAGGTTTTTTGAGCGGATGGTGTCAGTGGTCAAGCGACCGCTCGGAAGGATCCTCGGTGTTAATTTTCTCAGGTACAGAGAACTGGAGGCGGTGCTGTTCGAGATAGAGCGTATGGTGGATTCGCGCCCGATCTCGGCTGTCATCAGCGATCCGAACGAGCCCAGAGCTCTGTCTCCGGCGGATCTGATGTACGGTTATGCGTCCGGCCAGTACCTACCGGACACTGGAAGAATCATAAAGCAAGCGGGGAATATATCGGCGATCGTTTTTTCCCAACGATGGCGAGCCCAGCAATCCGTTCTGAGGGGCTTCTGAAAGCAATTCCGGAACGAATACCTCCTGTATCTCCGCTCACCGTATTACAACGAACCGGGCAGCAGCAAGCCGCTTGCCGAAGGTGACGTTTGCATCATACACGGCCCTGATCCCTCACGCGCCTACTGGCCGATTGGTATCCTTCACGAATTGCCCGGGGGGGAGAGCACTGATCGGCGTCGCGGATCATGTGTGGTATAAACGGGGTCCGGTGAAATTCTCAGACGCCCAATCCAACTCCTTATCGTCTGGAGGTCGATCAATTCTAGGCTCGACACCTTACTCTCGTTCTCCACTCAGAATCTCCGGTAACCTACCCACGTTTAATCTTCACCGCTCCCGCTGAGCTCGGTCATCACCAGCAATACGAGCTCTGAGAGGGGAGGCGCCTTCGGAGCCGGTGACTCAGATGATTCGCCCAACGAAGTTGGGAGTCGTTTAGCTGGCTCCAGACGTACCGAGCTTGAGCCGCTTGAGTGTCCTCGTTCTCCCGTCGGAAAACCTCACACCGCACTCGCATAAGCAACAAGAGAAGTCCGGTGGGGCTCAATGAAAAATGTTCACACACAGGCGTGGCAGTTCCAACGACGCCAACGGTCGCCACAAAATGTGCCACCGGAAAAAATCAATCGTTCTCGAACGAGTCCATCTTCCCTCTAACAAAACCCTTTCCGAAAAGGGCTTCCGGCCGATCCAGTCGCATAGCGATTCGCGCTTGAAATACTAGACATGATAGGTCCCAGAGTGCACAGTCGGCGTCTCGGGTTTCGAATCGGGATCTTTGGACACAGCGGTAAAGTGAATTCCGAAGTTTTTGTTCTGAGCCTCAAGACATGCGAGAGGATAGACGATTATTTCCAGGAGCCCGACATCTCTCGGCACCGCCTCACGGTGCCGGGGGGAGTGTTACGAATGGAAATACGTTAGGTATACTTCAATTCGAGGTCGCTTAATTGAGAACGGAGGAAGCTCTCTCTAGCGCGTCCCTCTCCCCGGTTATTTGCCGTACGACGGCGAATTTGCCGTAAGACGGCAAATTTCCGTTGACCGTAGTACGTTGCCGTGGTACTGAGAGCGGTTCTCCTGTGAGCGATTCCAACAGAGGTCGCATCCGACGGATCACTATGCGTACCGGAGACACTGACAACTTCACCGGATTCCTAAAGCCGACGCAAACGAACCTCGCAGTTTGCCCGGAGGTGGCAACGCCGGAATTCCAGAGTCAAATGCCCTTCATGACTTCATGACACAATTTGTCCTTGCCGCGCGAAGATTCGACGATTGTAGTCATTTCGCCTCAAGGAAATCGAAGAAAATGGACTATCTCAGTGATATCGGCATTCACTTGGTATGCCGGACTCAGGACTTGGTATGCCGAGTGTTTGTTGACGCCGTATATTACGGCATGCGCACTTCGCCGCGAGGGTCGACGACGCTTCACATGTTGACGGTCTCTATTCCTGAATTTCCCTTTTCGGGTTTGGAGATTTGGGTCTTCCCCTCAAAGAAGGGGATCGTGCTCAAACTAATGGAGCTGAGCTTGGTATTTCGCTTCGCGGAAGAGGACTCGATATTGATTGTGGTTCGCAACAAACGTTCACTTATTATTTTCCAATATGATCAGCGAAATCAGCGATCGCCTCGCGGCTAACGGTCTCGCGACCAAAGCTCTCGCGGCGAAACGGTCTAGCCGCGGAACGGCCGCGGCGAGATGGTCGCGGCAACATGGGGCGCTCCGGCAGCAAGATATCTTGCATTGTGAAACAGCGGTGCATAATCCCCAAGCCAACGACCTGGTAGAGCGATTCAATCGAGTCTTAGGGAATATGTTGAAAACAGCGGAGCTAATGTCAATGGATAAAAATAATTTGGATATTGTGATAAAGAAATGAAAGCCGAATATAGGAATACCCCTCATCCCACTGATGGCGATGGTTACATCGGTATTGTTGCACGGTCGGGCAATGCGATCCGGGCTTCAGATACCGGACCTGTGAGCTACGCAAGAGGGAATCATCCACGGCAATCGAGTCACGCATCGAACTACACCGAAGGAAGAGGCTCGAAAGGGAGAACGAGGCCGGTCATCGATTAAATACGCGACTGCGCGTGGGTGACGAGGTGCGGATGAGAAAGCCCGGGATTGTAACAAAGGGTGCTTGGCGATTCTCGGCCCCCGTCAAATTTGACTGCCAGGTGGGGCAGTCCAAATCCCAAACGTCAGACGGGAGAACATGGAGTGCCAGATCGCCAGCGGCGCTACCGAAAGAGAGGTCGGCGACCGCAGCGTCGCGGCATCCAAAACGAGCGCGGAAAGCACCGGACTTCTTCAGTTAGTGTGGGCTGGAGCGGAGTAGTTGAGAGCTTCCGAAGAATAGAGGTAAGTGGCATCGACAGCTTAGATCGCGCAACCCACATGCACGTATAAGACGGACGCCAGAGAAAACGCAGATAAACAATCAAGTAAACCGGCCAGGCCGGAACACCCCAGTCGCGGGTTGACAGCAGTGACGTGTTGTTCTTTCCCCAAGATAAAACCTGGACCACAGGGAAAAGACTTTTCTGAAGAGAGATGAAGATAGAGAAGAGCACGTTGCGTTTGTTGCACGAAATCTCACTTTCGACCCTTCAT